CTAATTACAGTTTTATTAACAAGAACAAAAATAACATGGGGTGGCCACAGAGAGTCGGTACAACCCTCTGGGCTGAGGGTTAGAGATGACCAGTGTTGGGAGTCTAAACCCTACTGACTAACAAATGGAGTTGGTGACTATTTATCTAAAATTGAAACAATAAAAAGATTCCTTGAATGATACAAAATGGGTGTTCCCTATATTAACCAATGAAATACAGAATATGCGGTATGGGGTGTGTCCTACAAATGAAATGACCAGACAGGGAGAGTACTTAATCCTACTAATCCTATTTCAACTGGCACTAATTGTGTTGACACATGTCCTGGAAGCTTCCTAATTTAACTGGCACTAATTGTGCTGACATGTTGCTTGGATAGTTATGGTGTTACAATAGATGGCTTAATGACCCTAATTTAAAGTGTTTGCACAATATATTTTAATGGAGGTGATGACATGTTTACTTTATCAAAGCAGTTCATTAAATCGTCTAGACATTACTTTGTCTTACTGAAAGGTTTGAGTCCTTGAAACCTTGGGCTAGGATTTATCTTGAACATCTGTGATATTGTAACTTATATCTTTTTCAATAGTATGTCTGTGAGATGAGTTATACTACTTTTGACTGGAGTCTTTCTCTAAGCTATTACAGATACATGATGAACTAAATATATTCTATATTTTATATTTTCCTAATATCTGAATCCTAATATATCGCTTGTAGTGGTTATAATTAATAATGAATTTTCGTATGAATTATTATTCCATGATAGGTACAACAAGGACTGGTCGGCTCTTAGTGGGGTATTCATGCTTCACTGCGGCATGGTATCTCAGTGGGCTAGCACTATAAAACCAGCTTAAGTCTGGGCTAGTGCAAGCAGCCGCACATACACATACATACACACGCATGCACGTCATCATATGAGCGAAATATTCTCAAGTACGACGTAAAACCAAATTTCACCTCACCACACCTAGGTCAAATGCCTTTACCAAACCCTAAGGTAGAACGCTGTCAAATTTATCCAATATAGTTGGCTTATTTTCAGTACCTCTTTGTACAATTTCTAACAAAAATATTTGAAAACATGTTGTTTTTCTTAAGAAGTCACATAGAAAAGGGAAGGTTTAAAAATCTTATTTCATAGCTAAAAGTGGCCCACACTTACTGTACACTTTCATGTCAGCCTTATTCAGCTGATCACAGATTTCAGGGGGATTCCAGGGACGAATGGGATCAACAAGGGCCCTGTTGTCTAAACTTTTGTGCAGTTGTATCACTTACACAATCCAGAAACCTTTTTCATGGGTTCGAGTCCCTAATTTGCCCCAACAATGTTTCTAGGTTTGCAGCTATGTTGATAGTTTCAGCAAGATTGTGACATCTAAGACACGCGTCAGTCCAATCTTTCCTCCCACAATCAACACGCATGCACGTCGTCATATGAGCAAAATATTCTCAAGCACTACGTTAAACCCAATTTCACCTCACCTCACCTCCCACAATGAGCTGACATATACTTTTAACAACTTTATTAAACTTAGATCACTTGTTGAGTAATGAGGCTTGTGTCGCTGTATTGTTTACCTGGCTGGTGGATCATCATCGTGCTCATGCTGTCAACCACTGGTTTGATTTACTCTTGTAAATGAAGATATGGATTACTTGAATTACAATAGTTGGTGCTTTAATGAAGACATGGATTACTTGAATTACAATAGTTGGTGCTTTAATGAAGATATGGATTACTTGAATTACAATAGTTGGTGCTTTAATGAAGATATGGATTACTTGAATTACTATAGTTGGTGCTTTAATGAAGATATGGATTACTTGAATTACAATAGTTGGTGCTTTAATGAAGATATGGATTACTTGAATTACTATAGTTGGTGCTTTAATGAAGATATGGATTACTTGAATTACAATAGTAGGTGCTTTAATGAAGATATGGATTACTTGAATTACTATAGTTAGTGCTTTAATGAAGATATGGATTACTTGAATTACTATAGTTAGTGCTTTAATGAAGATATGGATTACTTGAATTACTATAGTTAGTGCTTTAATGAAACTATAGATTACTTGAACTTCAATAAAAGTGCTTTAAATGAAGATATGGATTATTTGAATATCATCTGACAAAAGAAATAAGGATTTTGTGAATTTTAGTTGTCAAATCTACTGTCACTTCATCTAATATAGTAATCTGCTTTGTAGGATGCATTGGTTGTTACTTTGGACAAAGAAATTATCAGATGGTTGTTTACACGATATAGGTGAGCTTCTGTACCTGTAATACACTTGTTTCAAGGATAAAATTCAATTTAGAAAGAACAGACGCATTACTTAGAGTTACACTTTGAGGCAGGTGCTTTCTTACCCTGCACCTGAGACAGATTTGTCATCCAAGAAACTTTACCATTATAACTAGAATTTCTTAATAAACTACTTTTTTCACAAGCATGATGGTTTGTTGACAGTGTTTTTTAGGCAAGGAGAAATATGAGGACTCGGCACTTTTAAGTTTTAACTTTTGACTTGAGTCTAAAACTTGAAGCATGTCAAATATTCTTTGATGCTGGACTCCAAAGCTCCATAAAAATCCTAACAAAGAGAGATGTGTCACTGGTTCCAACATACTTATCCTCAAATCCCTATATCAAAGATTATCTGTAATCCCCAATACTGCAGTCCTCCAAGGGCTCACTATATTTACAGAGTGTATTTGAGACAAGTGTAATATGTACCATGTTTTCTCAAAAACTCAAAGAATTTGCTGGACGTTTTAAGATCTCAGATAAAAGAACCAAGTTCAAGTCTGTCAAAATACTTCATTTTTCAGCTTGGTACACCACCATTCCATAACACAAACTATAGGGAGAAACTTTATTCCTTGATCCGTGGGACTTTTGTCATAATGTGTGGTCACCATAGATACAGTTACAGTTATCTGTCTTCAAAGGTACAGGATAGTGTTTCAATAACAATCAAATAGCCACCCCTTGGTTGACACATGTCATCGGTTCCCAATTGCGGAGATCGATGCTCATGCTGTTGATCACTGGATTGTCTGGTCCAGACTTGATTATTTTCAGACCGCCGCCATATAGCTGGAATATTGCTGAGTGCAGCGTAAAACTAAACTCACTCACTCCCTCCACTGACTGACCTGCTAGAAGTAGTGAGTGAGTATAGTTTTACGCCACACTCAGCAATATTCCAGCTATATGGCGTCGGTAGAAGTACAAGTAAAGGAGACAAGTGAGACTGCCTCATCTGTGTCGTATTCAGACCTATGCACAAAGATTCAGAGACAAAACACTTTCCTCAAGAGTGTATGACAAGAGCGATAACTTCAACTATACAACAATCAACTTTCTTCTTTCAAGAATATTCCAGCAGTTTCAGCCTTTGTTGTTTACATTACAAACTTTTGAAGTACAATCAAGCATGTTCTTTCCACCAAGATTTCAAAGGATGCCATATGCTGAGATGTTTCTCAATCAAGATTACATCAGTGAAGGCTTTAGTAAAGCTTTCAAAAAGTTTTACGGTGGAGAATGTTTCTAAACTTGTTGCATCAGTTAGATATATTGTCTGATGCAATTTCCTATAAAGATTTACACCATACGTTCTTGATTCTTTTCAGGTTAACAATTAACGTGCCTTCACATGTATTTTTGACTGGTGTCACTGGGTAGGGTAGGATACACCTGGTATTATACTCCCTTTATTGTGATTCATAAAATCCTCTTCACGATATAGTTGGAATTGTACAATCCACATTTTTGTCAGAGATTTATGATGAATGTAGAAAGGGTGTTTTCACCTGTAACATAAATGTCTCTATATTAAAAGAAGTTTTGACTATTTTGTTACTTTCCTTTATAATTTGGTACCTCTGATGCAGATATTTTTCTGATTCACATAAGTTTTATGATAAACTTTTGGGCATTTTTTTCAAGGCTTAAGTTGGTAATCTCTCCATGATTAGAAAAAAGACAACCCTAGAAACTATTATTAGCTTTCATCAGTCCTTTTTCGGGGGTTACGCAAGATTTGGATTATCAAAGGTGCTGCAATTTGCTGTGCAGAGTTGTGTCCCTTTGGCATACCAGGAACCTGTTCTTTTAGGTTTGAATCCCAGTTCATCTTGAAATGTTTGTAGGTTTTGCAGCACCATACCTGTGCTTATGGGTTTCGACATGGCGGTAAATGTCTGAGGCCTGCATTTCTTGTGTCTGTCACACTCCCTGACAACCATATCCATTTAGCTGAGTGAGTGAGTTTGGTTTTACGCCATTTTTAGCAATATTCCAGCAATATCATGGCCGGGGACACCAGAAGTGGGCTTCGCACATTGTACCCATGTGGAGAATCAAACCCGGGTCTTCGGCATGACGAGCGAATGCTTTAACCACTAGGCTACCCCACCAACCATCTGAACTCTTACTACAAACATAGATTACAGGTACTTAAATGGGAATCAATGTGGCTGTTAATAGTTTATTTGGATTTATTGAAAAGTTTTCATATCTCCTATATTTATAACTCAATGTAGACAAATATACAACCATATAACCCTAAATACTGAAATTTAGGGACAATGAGCAGGAAGTAATGATAAACATTATCATCCTTAGATAATTGTACCTCTTAATTTCCTTGGATGGTTTTACTAAATAAATAATAATTATGATGTCTTTATAGTAACGCATGGCTGTCAGGTTGTGTGAGGGGTTTTATGCTTCTCATATACAAGTGACAAGATCCTGCCCATATTTGTGAAAAAAAACATCTGCTAATCAATATACAGAAAGCTGATTTATCTTCAAGTAAAAGTAACAATTATCATCAGTGCCGTTCATTTCATCCTAATTAGCATCACAGCAGCCCCCAAACCACATATCTGTAAGCACACTAGGTCTCTGACTTTCACAGGGAACAGATTGTGTCAACACCTGTTTGAGGCAGGATCTATTTTTAGCATTGCCTTCGTGTACAAGGCTTGTAAAGCGGAAGTGCACTGGGAGAAACAGACAGGCCATTTTATTCAGTATTGAACTCCAAGCATTAATGATAAGGCTGAATTAGGGTGAGTATAATCCCAGGGTGCATTGTAATCCTAAACAGGGATGCTATATACCATGATATCCAATGGTGATGATAATGATCACACAAACAGGCTGTCAGTCATATGATAATCTCAGGTCTTCATCATCTTTGAAGATATTTATCTCTCTAAATAACATTCCGATCTCAATGCTTAAATAGTCATGTGATACATGACCTGCACGACAGCATGACATGCTGTCTAAAATATCTTTTCAAACTTGGAGGTGATCTTCACTATTTACCCAGTTTGGGATTGACAGCCATTACCCAGTTCATCTTGATAATCTCCTGTTGTGTTGGGTTACTAAGTGATAAATCCAAGCATTATTCTGATCATGTATCTATGATATATCTACGATTGGGTAATGATTTGTGTTATGTAATCATTGTCATTGTTGTTGCTAAACACAGAGTTTAATGAAGATGAATGTCGACTTACTTTAAATAACTGGCATTTGTAAGCACCTTCGTGCGTTAACATCGAAAAGAATTAAATGTGAGAAATGTGATACAATACCGGCATAATTCTTTCTAACAATGATGATGAAGCTTTAAAACCAAACCATTGTGATGTTAAATGGACTCTAATTGATGTGAAATACTACGATGTTCAGGACATAAGTTAGACACAATCATCTCAATTTAGACACAATCATCTCAACTCATGATGGATAGACGTTTCTTTTACTTTGAGATAAGGTTGTTAGATAAAAGTGTATGGAAATGTGATTGAAATAGAATTCAATTCACAATAAAAATGTTTTTAAGCTCTTAATTGTAGGAAGCACACGGAAAATGTGGCATGCAACTATGTTGCAATGTTATCTTCATGAGATGGCATTATATCACTGTTTCCGTGGAATTTATGTAAGATATATCATATATCTATGAATACACAATGCCAGTTACAAAATGGACAAATGTAACATATACTATACTATTTTGGGATTACACCTTCTCAGTAAAGTACAGGTTCTAGACTTTTGTTGGGTTGAGTCCCATCTGGGATTTGAACCCATACTCTCGGAGTCAGACACCTAATTGCCAACAAAAGTACTAGACTCTGTATTTTACTGAGAATCTGTACTCCCAAATATAACATATGTTACATATGATATCTAGACTGAAAAGTCACATGGAAGTACTCATGATATAAAGAAAATAACCAGCAGCAATAGTTGTGTCTCAGAACCAACATATATTCTTAATAAACCAACCCTACCCTAGCCTCTACTTACATGTATTCTTCAATCTAGCACCCCTACCCTCGGTCCGTACATACCTCTATTCCTCAATCTAGCACCCCTACCCTCGGTCCCTACCTACCTGTAATCCTCAATCTAGCAGCCCTACCCTCAGTCCCTACCCTCAGTCCCTACCTACCTGTATTCCTCAATCTAGCAGCCCTACCCTCAGTCCCTTAGTAACCTACCTGTATTCCTCAATCTAGCACCCCTACCCTCAGTCCCTACCTACCTGTATTCCTCAATCTAGCACCCCTACCCTCAGTCCCTACCTACCTGTATTCCTCAATCTAGCACCCCTACCCTCAGTCCCTACATACCTGTATTCCTCAATCTAGCACCCCTACCCTCAGTCCCCTCAGTCCCTACATACATGTATTCCTCAATCTAGCCCTACCCTACCTCAGTCCTTACATACATGTATTCCTCAATCTAGCACCCCTACCCTCAGTGCCTACATACCTGTATTCCTCAATCTAGCACCCCTACCCTCAGTCCCTACATACCTGTATTCCTAAATCTAACAGCCCTACCCTCAGTCCCTACATACATGTATTCCTCAATCTAGCTGCCCTACCCTCAGTCCCTACATACCTGTATTCCTCAATCTAGCACCCCTACCCTCAGTCCCTACCTACATGTATTCCTCAATCTAGCACCCCTACCCTCAGTCCCTACATACATGTATTCCTCAATCTAGCAGCCCTACCCTCAGTCCCTACCTACCTGTATTCCTCAATCTAGCACCCCTACCCTCAGTCCCTACCTACATGTATTCCTCAATCTAGCAGCCCTACCCTCAGTCCAAACCTACATGTATTCCTCAATCTAACAGCCCTACCCTCAGTCCCTACCTACATGTGTTCCTCAATCTCGAACCCCTACCCTCAGTCCCTACCTACATGTGTTCCTCAATCTCGAACCCCTACCCTCAGTCCCTACCTGCATGTATTCCTCAATCTTGACCCCCTACCCTCAGTCCCTACATACATGTATTCCTCAATCTCGACCCCCTACCCTCAGTCCCTACATACCTGTATTCTTCAGTCTAGCACCCCTACCCTCAGTCCCTACACACATGTATTCCTCAATCTAGCTGACCCACCCACAGTCAATACATAGGTGTTCATGTACCCAGACCCTATCCCTACATACCTGTATTCCTTTTTCTGCTCAACCCTCAGTCCCTACACAGATGTGTTTCTCAATCAAGAAGACCAACCTCAGTATGATACTGATTTGCCCTCATACACAGCACAAAACTCTCTCTTCATAGGTGTATTTCGTAATCAAACAAGCCAACCCTCATTTTCTGTACGGATGTCTTCCTCAGTTAAGTAAAATTCCCACATGGGAAAAATGTGTAGCAATCATTTGCATCACCACCTTTGAGGATATGTGCTAGTCTGTGTCTCACATTCCTGATCACATTACTTTCCCTACTGCCCAGCCTAAGTGAAGCAAGTCTAGATTTCCTCCTAATTTCCCATCTCACTGAGGCTTCTTTTCATTTAACTGAGATAATTGAGATTTTTTGTTACTATCAAAATTATTTATATTCAGAGACTAAGAGCCTGACTGTGCCTGAGATATTCTGAAACTCAACACCAAATAACCGTTGGATTTAGGCAACACCTCTCTGTTAAACCTCTTCCACAGCCCCACTCCCAAATCTATATTACTCGCTTTTCCTGGATGCAAGGCATTGATCGACTCCCATTTGTCCCCAGACCTATCGTTCTGTCTCCATCCTCCAGCTGTACACAACAGCGTTCACCGTTCAACCCTATCACATAGCGTTCAGCTCACATTTCTGACATCAGCCTTCCTCACACGAGAGACTGACAGATTGTGCATTGGACACGTATCGGTGCATCTGTCCGGCGTAACAGTGTTACCTGGTACATGTTGCACATTAAGGTCAGCCAGGCTTATGTATGTAAATATTCATGATGAAAGAGGCATGTGTTCTGTTAGTAGGGCTGAAGGGGTCGTTGTCGGCACGGGTACTACAGATATGTACCCCAGGTACGTTTCTGTATACAGAAACGTACCTTGGCCATTATGAGAATACAGAAACGTACCCTAGGATGATTCCATTCCCATTGTGTCGTATTCTTGACCGGAACTGTCATACTGTTGTATTAGATACATTTGATTGCGTTATGTAAGTAATGAGAATACACAGTAACGGATATTTCGTGATGCACATGAATACCACTCGGAATCAGTTGAACAGGGAACAACTACATACAGTTTCGCTTTTGGATTGCGGAATATGGACTCGTCCACCTTTTAGGGGTACCGGGTACGTTTCTGTATTTTGACTTTGTTTAGGGTACATATCTGTATACAGAAAGGTACCTGGGGTACGAATCTGTAGTACCTGTGCCGACAACGACCCCTTCAGCGTTAGTAAGCATGTTGAATTTTTGTGTGTTGGGGTCTGTGAGACTCATCCTATTGGGATCCAGAGTTTGTTTTGTTTGTTGCGCTTGTTTGCAAGCTATATGATGATGGTCTGTAAGTATTGAGTCTGGACTAGGTAGTCCAATGATTGACGTCATGAGCATCAATGTATAAACTTGTGACATGATGACATGCATCAACCAGGTCCTCAGGCCTGACCACCCGTTCCCGTTAGTCGACTCGACAACAAGCATGGGTTGCTGAAGACCAATTCTAACCTGGATCTACGTGCATATTGGACTCAAAAGAAACTACTGATCTCCACTCTTGCCTGCTATATCCCTAACAACTGTTTTAAGATAATTAGGTGATCCAGTTTGATGCTGATTCTCCACCCCTATTTGCATGGACTGGTGCTCATGCTTTCAACCACTGGTTTCTCCAGTCTATACTTGATTATTTATATGTATTACATACTAGCGCATGTGAAATATAACAGATTTATTACACTTTAATATTAAAGGAGAAAAAAAAAGATGGTTTATATACTCATGGAAAGAAATAAGGGAACATTTCATGAGAAAATAATTTTTATGTGTGATGTCCCATGTGAAACACAATGGTGAGCAGTGGTTGTTTATCATGTTTGTGACACTCTCTGGGCAAACATTCAATTCAATGACTTGTCTCAAACATAAAATTGAAGCATCGAACACAGTGGCAAATGTACATCTACACCATTTTGTGTTCAAATAACATTAGTGTTACCTCAATCAACTGAAGGTCAAATACGCCAATGTCTGCTGTCTGTCATGTATAGGAGAAAACACGCCCCCACTGTTTTGGTAGAGAATGTAAAACCGAAGGAAGAGGGAAATCATGAGGGGCTTTACCCCCCAGGGATTTCCCTCCTCCCAAGGTTTTACATTCTCTACCAAAACCGAGGGGAAGTGTTTTCCCTAACATATAAACCGTCAATGATGGATAATTATAATGTAGATGATCATTTAATGAAGCTACATAACAATAACTGCAGCGCAAATAAAATGAATTTAATGACAGTAACTATAAATAGATAATTCAACCCCCAACATCTTACTTAGTCGGCTGGGTGGCCGTGAGGTAGAGCGTCCGCTTATTAATCTGATAGATGCGGTTCTAATCCTGCTTGGGAAAACATTTGCACTTTGAAATTGATCTTGGACGATATTTTTTAATTGATTTCAAACACTCATTTATCATTTGAATGTTGATGTTCATATAGAGTTAGCAAAAGATAAAACCTGGGAAAAGGACTTACTTGCAAAAAGTAAAACCTGGAAAGAGG